CACTAGTTTCATAACCAGGATCCTAATTTTCTGACCAGGTCATCTGGTCGTTCAGTGGGGTAGTTGTAAGACAACTTTATTCGCATGTTTCAAAAAACAAAGAAAAAAACGCACATTCACTTCCGCCACATTTTCAAAACACTAAGTCGCACCGCATTCGCAACTGTCGCGCGGCATGATTGCCATCTAGTTTCTATTTCGATCTTGTCATCCTGTTTGTTTTATTCAAAAATCTTTTTAAAATCAACGAAAAGTTCATAACTGAACTAAACTGATGTCTTTCTCTTATTTCCATGGAGCCACTGGATGTTTATTTTCTTTCTGTTTTTCTAGATACCATTGAGAATTTTAAAAAGAGTTTAAAAAAATATTTATAAAACTTTTAAAGTTTGTTCAAAAAAATTAAAATAGCTATAAAGTTTGATTTATAAATCTTCACAAAATTAATTAAAAGATCCAAAATTAACAAATTGATTTATGACTATTTAAAATTCTCACAGAAATATAGTAAATCATAAGTTTTTTCAAACAAGTTATAAACTCAACAATATTGAATACTGATATTTTTTCACTTGAAATTTATTATCTTTTTATCGCGCATCACATTATTGTATTTAATATATTGTATTCTTGATTAAATAATAACTGACTAACTCACATAATCAACAATTAGAAGCACACTCTCATATATTCTGTGGTTAAACTCTTATTCAAATCCTGTATGGTAATATGGGGAAACCGACACGTGGAAAAATTGGAAACATTGCATGAACAGGATATCGTTGAACTGGGTAAAATCGATGGGCTGGATATAGTGGCTGGTGTCGATTTGTTTTTGGCCATGGTCTCTCGTGTAATGGTCGCTGTGTCACTTGAGTGATGGCAAACACATCGGTGGGATCAACTAATTGAAAGTTAGTCATATAACTATAAGGGATATAACCATAGCCCTGATCACCCTAGAAACCAAAACATATATTCGGATTTATCGCAATCTTGAGCCAATCTTCAAACAAATTGGTTCTCTTATCTACTTCTGGATATGAAATTTAGAGCGCTTAATATTTTAATACAATGTCTAGTGCATTTAAACGCCCAAACATCCGACAGAAAGGACGATATTTGTGAAAAAAATCAATGTGTAACAGTGCATAGTGTGATAGTTTAAAATATACTACACTTATTTTTTATCTATCAAAACATGTTTTTTAAGATGTGTCAGCAAGTTTTCAGAGAATCTTATAATGTCATGGGCTCAGATTATTTTAAGATCCAGCTCTTTCAAAGTAAAATATAGCTTCGGTATTCTTTGACATTTATGGACACACTAGGTGTGTTAATTTAGTGTTACTTTGGAAAATACATGTAAATGAATCATTTATAGTTAAAAAATAAAGATAAATTTGTTATTTATATTTAAAAAATAAATGTAAATAAATGAAAAAAAAATTTATCTTTATTTTATAAAAGTAAATGATTCATTTATATTTATTTATTTATTTCTACCTTTATTTTTAAAAGTAAAGGTACAAATAAATAAATAAATATAAATGAATTTATAACATTTATTTTTTATATATAAATGACGAATTTATCTTTATTTTTTAAGTATAAATGATTCATTTACTTTTATCCATTATTATAAATGAACAATAAAACTAAATTAACACCCCTAGGACACACACCTTTTTCCGTCTAAGCTAGCGTACATTCGTTTAAAAAAGTACTCCTACCCATTTTCTTCCCCATGAATTTCTTATAATGAAATGTTGTTCTTCGTCATCATAGCCGACAGCCAACACAGCATGATAGCCTTTTTTATTTAACAATCTCTCTGTTACTTCCGGCATTGGTATGTAACCTTGATTCAATTCTACGGTTTGAAACGATGAAAATAATTTCAATCCAAAACAAAACGGATAGCCCATGGCTAAACATTCTCTCATCGTATCCAAATCCATCTGTACTTGCAATGGTTCAATGGTAATTCGTCTAGCTTCATCAAATGCTTTTTGAGACGGTTCTTGATTGACCAGACGAGGATCGTAAGGCCATGTAGATTCTCGACAAACACCAAATTTTTGTATCGCCTTAATTCCGCTCTCGATAGTAACACCAGTGTTGTCGATATGACGAGTTTTTTCTTCGATAATACGAGAATTATAAAATATAAACAAACGACTAACATCAATATGCACACCACTTTCTCGTAACATCAAATATTCGACAGCACCTAAAAATAAAAAATCGTTATGACGCGTACTAGAGGCACATACAAGACATGAATATCATCGAGAATGTTCTTTAGTTTTACTTTAGTAGCAGTTTTATGTATATAACAGCAGAATTAATGATTATTAAATGTTGATGTAAAAGACAATGTTTTTTCTTAGATATGGCAAACAGTACCTGCTTCTTTTACTTTTGACCGTAAGTGTCCTTTCTGGCAGAAACCTATTTCTGTAACTGCAAGTCCGATTTGGATCAAACTTTCAGGAAATGTTGATCATGTCAGAGTATAATGACAAAAGTCTTTTCTTCGGCTCTACTTGTCTCCGTTCGCTTTTAATAAAACTATCATAACTTTTGATCAAATCGTCGCTCAAAGTTGGAAGACGTCAAACTTTAATCAGCCAAACTAGCATCGTAGAAATCCTTTTTGATTTCAAAAATATACTAAAATATCAGAATTTCAGAAAAATGAATTCGTTAAGTTTTTGAGAAAACTGCAGAAATCTTCAATATTGGCAAAAACGGTATGAACAGCAGATATGTTGTGCTATAAAACCATGTGTTTAAGTCTTAACTCAATATCAACTTTTTATTTAAAAAAAGTCTATATTTCTGACAGAATTGTTCAAGAAATTAGATTCAAAATACTTGCGACTTACCTGCAAGCGCATTAGCAACACTAGAAAAGAAAGATATAAACAAATGAAAATGCATAAAACAGCCTTATTCATATACTTCGCTTTGTTCTTACTTACCAACTATTCATTTTGGTTCCCTGTTCTTCCACAGGCGTCATATACTGTCTCAAATCAACAGATGATGGTAGTGCTAAATTTTTTGTCATGCCAGCTTTCAGCTTTTTTGTATGGATTGTTGGTTTTCGCCCATTTGTCCCTTTTTTGCCATTCACTGGATTTACACTACCCGTTTGTGGGTTAACAAAATACTCGACTCCCATAGTAAAAATCTTAAACGCAAAAATAAAAATTTTTAGACTACTGGTAACATCTAGAGATCGATTTAAAGTTTTTAACGTTTCAATTACCCACTTGAAGTAAAAATAATTTTCTGATATATCTACCTAATTGAAAATGGATAAATCTAGAGAAAATTTAGTATCCACTGTTTATAAGGAACATGGCAGTGTTGTATTTGTCAGTATTTGGAGGTGCTGCTCATTATGGTAGATTGTTAAAAAAGGATTTTGCGTACGATCAATCGTTCAGAATAATTTCTCAAGATAGGATATGTTCTCATCCGATTTATTGCAAGA